AAATTTGATTCGGGTCGCGACCAATTCAGGTCGCGACCAGAGTCGCAGAACGAATTAAGTTTGTGACCCGAGGTACCACTGTAAAAGCTAATTCAAAGTGAAAAATGAAAAATAGACAACCTGAGCCCCCTCCCCACCTTTTTGTCCTTTCCAACCCAACAGAATATTGGAAATAAATTATATAAAGGAGCTCAGAACTCTGTCTCTCAGCAGGATAACTCTTTGAAAACAAAATGGCAAATTTGGCACTATGGAAAAAGATATCAAAATAAGTTGGGAGTTTGAAAATGGGCCAGATCTAGCTTGGGGTTGCAGAAAAAAGCACTCCAGAAAAAAGTTCCCCAATGCATCCTTATGGAAGGGGGGCAGTTGGACAATGGGTCAGGATGCTTCTGACTCCTCCATTCTAAACTTCCCTCCCTCCTGACCATATGACCAAGAGCACAGCATATGCAGCTTGTCCTGTGCATTCCAGTGCACACCTACACACACAGATGCAGCATATGGTGAAAGCCAATACACACACAAGCAGAGAGAAGCCTCCTATGGCATGCTGGACAGGAGATAATTCAAGTCATACTCTGCATGCTTTCCCTTTTAACTTTTAAAAACTTCTTACAGGGCCCTCTCTGACCATTTTTGCTGAAAATCATCAGTCCAAGTTCACAACTTTTCAAGGCAGAAAACAGAAATACTATAAGCCCTAAATTAAGTTTAAAAAATACTGTAATGAAAATCCCCAACTCAAAAACAACTGAGAGGAGAAGAGAATTCAGTCCTGTCCACACACACAACACAGTGTCATCCAGTTTATGTCATTACCCCATCGAAAGTAGCCCTCAGTCAACCCACCCACCCACTGGATCAAAACATCCAGCATGAGAGAAGGAAACAACTTTGTGGCTTTATGATTTGGACCACGCTTTTTTCTTAGAGCCAAGGAATACCAGGGTCCCAATTTTTAATGCCTTATTTTCCCCAAAGACAGAACGATAGTTCTACAGTGATTAAGAGGATAGTGAGGATATAGAATAGTCTTTGCACGACTTCGTGTTGTGCGGCAGTTACGCCCCTCCCTGGATCAGGACGACCTCTGCACGGTCACTCATGCCCTGGTCACCTCCGGGTTGGACTACTATAATGCGCTCTACATGGGGCTACCCTTGAAGAGTATCCGGAAGCTACAGCT